AGTGACTATATTTTTTAAAATGCTCCAAATCACAAATAATTAAGAAAAATACAAATTAAAATGATTCTGAGACATCACCTCAGATCTAGAAAATTAGCAAAGATGAAAAAAACAGAAATCATAAACATTGGAAGGCCTCTGGGAAGTCTGGCAAGATGATGCAATGTTGGTTGAGCTGTGAAATGGTCCAGTTGTTTTGGGAAATAATTTGGCATTAGTTGAGGAAAATGACTAAATTGTTTGTACTCTTTGATCCAGAGATCCGCACACTGATCATATACTTTAGAAAGTTAAAGACAGAGCTATCCCACATAAACCAATATATTCATATCAGCACTACTTATAGACACACACCAAAAAAACTAGAAATAAAGTGGTCATTCTTTATGTACAAAAATATTTATAGCAGCAGTGTTTGTGGTAACAAAAAAAACTGAAAATGAGGAGAATCAATTGATGAATAGTTGAATAAATTGTAGTATATTAATGACATAGAATACTATTGTGCTCTAAGAAATGAGGAAATAGATGGCTTCAAAAAGGCACGGAAAAACTCATGTGAAGTGATGCAGAGTGAAGTAAACAGTACCAGAAAAATAATTTATAAGATCAATATTATAAAAGTGAATGATTTTGAGGTCTTTCACAAAATAATGAAGAATGAAATTAATAGAACCAGGACAACAGTTCATCTGTTAACAATGCTGATCAAATGAAATATTTGCAAAAAGCACTTAACACAGTGCCTAGTAGGAAGCACTGCATAAATTCTGATGACCAATATGACCATCATGACTTCAGAGGCCCGAAGATGAAATATTCTATCCATTCCAGAAAAGTGATGGATTAAAGGTACATAATAAGACACCTATTTTTCTGTATAGCTATTTAAGGAATTTATTTTGCTTAACTGTGCATATTTGTTATAAGAAATTTGCTTTTCTTTTTTTTTTTCCAATGGAGTGAAGTGGGAGGAAAATAATATAGGCTTCTGATTTTTTTTTAGAGAGATGGGGAGGGGCTACAGATATAAAAAACTGTTGCATGCTTTTTCAGATAAAGTCACTGTACTATTAGTTTTATTTAACAGTTTCCTTATATGAAACCTTTCAGGAAGTGGGAGTAATCTGTAAATATTTGCAATGTCAAAACAAAATACATCAACAAAGCTTTTTTTTTTTAGAGTGGATACCAGGTATTTCTAAACAAACAGTGGCATGTGAATGTAATGGAACATAATTGTACAATGAGAAATGGTGAACATCAGAAATTAAGAAAAACATGGGAAAACATATGAGCTAATGCAGAGTGATGTAAGCAGAATCAGCAAAACAATATACACAACGACTATAATAATGTAAATTAAAAGAACACTGAAAGAAAAACTAACCTAGAGTAACTGTCATGGCCAATTTTGGTTGTGAACAACATATACCTCCCTCACTGCTCTATCAAAGAAGAATGTTGCATTTCCTGTGGGATGAGTCCCTTTTCTGGCTATTTCGTTTTCTTTTTCTTTTGTTTGGCTGCTTTGTTTTGTTTTGTAATAAAGAAGGATTCAATTTGGTTGGAAGAGTGATAGCCAGAAATGACTAAAATGTAAAAACAAGAGAAATGTGGAATAATGGGTAGAGCACTGGACTTGAGTACAGAGGATCCAAGTTTGAATCCTGGTGCTTATTATCTGTCTGAACATGGACAAGTCACTTTCAGTTGTCTGACCTTCCATTTCCCCATTACTGATAAAAGAGGGCTGCACCAGCTGTCTTCGAATATCCCTTCAAGTCAAGTCAGAAATCAATGATTCTTTTAGCTTCTTTATTCACAGTATACATATATAATAGCTAGCATTTATATAGTGCTTAAGGTTTGCAAAAGGTTTGTTAATTTCTTTGATCTTCACAACAACTCTATTATAATCCCCATTTTATAGATGAAGAAACTGAGACATACATAGAGAGGCCAAATGATTCGCCCAGTGACTTGCCATATAGTTAATCAGTGTCATCCAAATCCTTATTAGATAAAATTTCATAATGTAAAGATTTTCAATGACTACTCGTTCTTTGGCTCCTCTCTCTTCAAATAAGTGTAGATAATATACATATACATATAGTTATACATGATATATATATACATACATACATACATCATCTATGTACATATAGATGACATAAATTCTTATTAAACTAGGCCACTCCATTGATTCAGGCTTGGGAATTAAAATCCAAGAAGGGAGCCGGTCAATCAGTCAATAAGCATTTATTAAGCACCTACTATGTAGCAGGCATTGTGCTCAGCTCTGGGGATATAAAGAAAGGCAAAAGAGAGCCCTTGCCTCCAAAGAGCTCACGGCTAATTAGGGGAGACAATATGAAAGACAACTATGTTCAAACAAGATATAGGCAGAATAAATTAGAGATAATAAAGGGAAGATACTAGCATTAAGAAGTATCAGGAAAGGCTTCTCATAGAAGATGGGATTTTAGCTGAGACTTGAAAGAAGCCAGGAAATAGAGATAAGGAGGAAAAGCATTCCAGGCATGGGGGACAGCCAGTGAAAAGACACAGAGTCCAGTGATGGGAGCATTGTGTGCCAGGAATATCAAGGAGGCCAGTGTTACTGGATCACAGAGTATGGGGTGAGGGGCAAGGTAAGTTAGGGATAGTAAAGTGTAAAAAGACAGGAAAGGTAGGAGAAAGCCTGGTTGTAAAGGCTTTTGAATGCAGAGGATTTTATATTTGATCCTAGAGGTGATAGGGAGTTACTGGAGTTTATTGAATAAAGGGGTAACATGGTGAAACCTGAACTTTTAGCAAGATTAATTTGAAATCTGAGAAGAAGATGGACTGGAATGGGGAGCAACTTAAGGCATGAAGACCTACTGGGAGACAACTATAATGATCCGGGGTTGAGATGATTAGAACCTGCATGCAGGTGTCTTTGGAGAGAAGAGGGCATACACAAAGAGATATTGTGAAAGTAAAGTCAACAAAACTTGGCAATAGATTGGGTATTGGGGGAGGGGGTGTGAGAAAGAGTGAGAAGTCAAGGATGACACCTAGGTTGTAAGGGTCACTGAATCATGGTGTCCTTGATAGCAATAGAGAAGTTTGGAAGTGGAGAGGGTTTGGGAAAAGATAATAAGTTCAGTTTTGGACATGCTGAATTAAAGGTGCCTATGGGATATCCAGTTTGAGATATCTAATAACCAGTTGGAGGTACTTAGGCAAGTAGTTCAAGCTGGATACGTAGATCTGAGAATAACTAGCATAGAGATAATAAGTGAAAACACAGAAGCTAAAGAGATCACCAAGGTTCCCAAAGTGGATGATACTACTCCCTGGCCAGGGGAGGAGGGGAGGGTTACTGGAATAAAGGAGGGAGGAGGAGGAGTAGCCTCTGGTGCAATTGGGGGGCATTGAATAAAAATGAGTGGGCAGTAGAAGCATAAGGAAAGAAGAGATTTTTGAAAAACCATTTGTACATGTTTCATCTTTTGTGTAAGAGTTAAAGTCATAGTGATTACATTATTTTCCAAATAAACACACAAAATACAAGTTATAATTGATTAGTGGTCAAGTCTGCCAACAGGTCTCAACAAGCAAGTGTTGACAGGTGCATGTAAACTTAATGTTGCCAGTTATTTCCCAGACCCCTAGGTTCCAGCTGTTACTGCAAAGCAATGAAATCCAGACTGGTTGGCAGGTAAGCATATTGTGCGTTGTCAGGAAGTCCAGCATGTATTGGCAGGAATATGTACATGTAATGACTTGTTTACAATATGACACTTTACAGTTACATGATGCAATATTGCATCATCAAAATTTCAATGCAGGAAAAAAAACCCATAAATTTATAATAAATTATTAAATTTAAGATACATCTTTTTAAAATACATTTTATATATTTTAAATGACAATTTAAAAAAAACATTAAAGGGTTAAAGGAAGTAGATTTCCAGGGGGGTGCTGAGCAATTTTTTTTTTTAGCAGTGCAAAAGGCCAAATTAGTTTGAGAACATCTGGTATAGAGGGAGAAGAGAAGAGAACCCAGGACAGAGCCCTGGAGAACTGTTAGCTTTAGTATAGTATATGTGACCTGGAAGAAGATCCAGTAGAGGAGACCGAGGCCAGCCAGGTAGGAGGAAAACCACGAAAGAGTGGTGTCTGTAAAACCTGGAGAGAAGAAAGTATCAGAGGAGAGTGATCAACAGTGTCAAAGGCCAGAGAGAGGCCAAGGAAAATGAGGATTTTTAAAAGGCCATTAGATTTGGCAATTAAAAGACCATTGGTAACTATAGAAAGGGGAGAGGCATTGATGATTAAGTCAGAAGCCAGACTGTAGAGTTAAGAAGAGAATGAGAAGAGAAGAAAAGGAGGCATTGATTACAGACAGCCTTCTCAAGATGTTTAGTCACAAAAGGGAGGAGAGATAAGGTGTTGAAAAGAAAATTCTTCATTTTATTATAAGCACATCAAGGTACATTGACTGGCCACATGTTGCTACCTTGATGTACTTACAGTAAACTCCTATTAATTCTTTATCCTGCATTTTGCCTCCCCAAATGAAGAATTTTCCTTTCAACAATGGCATGTTAGCTAGTGGGAATGGATGGATAAACTGAAGGTTTTCTGAGGATAGAGCAGACATGCACGTTTATAGACAGCGGGAAAGCAGCCAGAAGATGAGAAGAGACTAAAATTTGTAGGGAACCCAATTAACACAGTTTTGTGATTTTGTCCAGCTTCGATCAGCATGTAGGAGCCAGAGTCAGCTACCAAACTGATGCTCCTAAAGCCCAGGTCTGACCATGCCATCCGGCCCCCCCTTCCCCCAATAAAATCCAATGGCTCCTAGTTATCTCTAGGATCAAATATAAATCCTTCACTGGATAGGACCCAATACCATTTAGCTACTTAACATCAGTTAGCTTTGACAAACATTTATTTACTTTCAAGATATAGCAACTACAAAGTACAAACATTTTCCCCAATACCTCAAGAACATAATCTCCCCAACACCTGCCAGAGCAGGGAGAGGGAGAGGCACAGCGGGTTGGCTCAAACTTATCTCACTTGTGCACAGCGTTGGTCTCACCAAGTCCAAGTCCAAAGGCAGCAGTCTGGGGTATCTGATATGTCTTTTCTCAGCTCCTGCTGAGCTGGGTTCCCAAGGTTATAACTTTCCCTTGGGGGCATTGATGTAGCCCTGCTGATTGTAAACTTGCAGTGTAGAACATCAGAATTCCACTTTTCTGATCTTTTGAAATGTACAAGGTAAAAGGTTCCACTCCCTTCACCTAGAACAGAAATGAATAAACACAGAGGCCAAGGACTCTGGTCCATTTCTGAGGGCTACAAGGCTGGATGGCTCCAAAGCTCCCCCCCCTTCACATTGTGACTCACCAGGAAAGAAGCAATCTCACTGAGGGCAGAGAGGATGGTTGAGGCTGGTCGGCCAAGGCTGATTCAGGCCTTTTTGAAGACACTCTTCATTCCAATTTTGTAGTCAACTGAAAAAAGCCTCCTCCTTGGAAGTGATTGTTAATAAATCAAAATAAATTAATGAAAAATTTTTAAAAAGCCTCCTCCTAACCACGAGGCTAATTGGCTAGAACCAGTTACAAAAAGTCCACGGGTGCTCCAAAGTGTCTGAGATGTTTCCATTTCACATTATCATGACTCTCCAGAAAGCAAGCTTCATCACAGTGCCTGGCACATAGTACATGCTTGATAAATGCTCATCAACTGACTGACCACTGATAAATTCACATGTTAGGAAGGAGGGTTCACAAACTAGGGGAAATATTCTTTGCCATACTATATATTTGAATTTGGGGTTCTGAAACAACGGTCACCCTGTCGTTGTTTGTCCTTTGTTCTCGAAGACGGCCATGGCATCAGGAAGATGATGCAATGACTTGCACTTGTTTTTAAGCGAGGCAGGGCTATACAAAGTCACCAGCCTCACTTTCTTTGCCGGAGCCGTATGGGTCAAGTGGCAAGATATAGATGGCCCCAAATGGTCACCCTGCCTCTAAGCGTGACCCTGCTACACACAAGGAAAACTCACCCGCATCACATACCTTATGCCTAAGAGTCCGCTAATGTGAAATTAAATCATTTTACTCTGGGATCAGTGTGACAAAAATACTTGAAATTCAGCATGTAATTATTCTAATTCTACACAATTATTTTCTTCCTTCCTAGCTGTTTCTCTGCAGTTTGGAGAGGAGAATAATCTGAAGTATTAAACCTGTAGGAAACTCATTAATCTCAGGTCCACTCACCTCCTCTCAGCTCTCCCCCCCCCCTTCATTGTAGCCAGTCAGATCTGTGTTACCAACAAAACTGCATTTATAAACCTTGATATAATCAACAGGGAAAGCCACTCCAGCCATATGGTCAAAAAGAAAAATTGTCGTATGTGACCAAGGATATGGAAATAGATTGCTTGAAATTTTAGGAGCCAAAAGTCTCCGTTGCTATCTTATGCCTTGCCTGGGTCACTTTGTCACGTCTATTCAGGTCTTATGTACCAGTCACACATGCTTTATGGACAGTTCTGAGAGTCATCAGAGAGGCTGTGATTCTATCAAGCTCCTCACAAAGTCCTCTCAATGAAAACTCTATAAACTTAATATTGCCAATTATTTCCCAGACTCTTCTGTTTCAGCTGTTACTGCAAAGCAATGAAATCCAGACTACGTGGGAAGCTGCCCAAGGGGAGATTGGGGAAACTGTTTTTTCCTTGTTCCTCTTGGTTCTGGAAAGGTGAAAGTGTCATGATTCAGCTGTAGTGTGATTATGGCTTAAATGAAAGTATGGCTCTGAAAACCTCAAGTTAACATATTTTGAGATTCAGCTTGAGGTTGCAGATGTTTGTTTTTTGTTTTTTGAAGGGGAAAGTTGTCTATAAGGGGGAAAGTACAGAAAAAATATACTCTCAGGGTTTGGGGGAGTCATTACCCTTTATTTTAGTTTATTTTGTTATCATTAACCATCAATAGCAGGTCTCTAGTTTGGGTCTGTAGGAGATTCCGTGTTTAGAGAATTAACTAAGGAATTGCTCCAAGGAGCAATTGGCTGGTAGCTTTCAATTCATTCAAGACAAGTAACTTTGGATATTGCCTGAAGGGTCAGTTTTTAACTCGATGGGAGGGAAGACCAGGAGGTCACATTTAAGTGAAACGGATTTGACTTGATTTTTAATGGGCCATTAAGTAAACTCAGGGACATAACTCCAGTCCCATTAGTCTGGACTTGGTTTTCAAATCAGCAAAAGGCAGGAAACCTTTTCTAAAGGTTTTGTTGTGGTCATTTTGGTGACTATAGGTTACCTCCAGTTGGCCCCAGCGAATGAAATTCAATGATCTCAGTTATCTAACAGATTCTCACAGAGGTCTGCTATGCTTTAGCATGGATGGAATGGCTTGCATGAAAAAAAGTGCTTAATAAAAGCTGAATTTTAAAAAAATAATAAAAATAAAAGCTGAATTTAATTAAAACTCTAAATAATCTAGGAATATAATTAGGATCAATAAAATTTTCCTTTTAGTTTAGTGGTTCTTAAAGCAGTTTAGTCAAACTGGCTTTATTAATAAAATATGAGAGGAAAAGAAATGAGTACAGTATACATACATATATTTAAGAGTAAAGTTAAAAAGAAATACAAAGCTATGATATTATTACTAAGTAGAAAAGTTACAATGTTATTACTCAATCGGACCTACACAATTTGCATTAGATCTTCTCCTAGTTACAGGTCACTTGAAAGAATAGAGATACTGAGAGAGACAGAGAGGTCCTATCCAATCCCGTCCAGTCTGATAGAGCTCACCATCTCTTCTCTATTCTCATTGTAGGTTAGAGTGACAAAAAGTATGGAGTACCTGCTATATATCCCACACCATGATCAGTGCTAAAAGAGATATAAACTAAGTATAGCATACTTTAGCATAGTGGAAAGAGCCTTAGCCCCGTACAGGTAGCTTGGGACATTGGAAAAGAACACTGGCAGGGGCAGCTAGGTGGCACAGTGGATAAAGCACCAGACCTGGATTCAGGACGACCTGAGTTCAAATCCAGCCTCAGACGCATAACACTTACTAGCTGTGTGACCCTGGGCAAGTCACTTAACCCCATTGCCTAGCCAAAAAAAAAAAAAAAAGAACACTGGCTTTGGAACCAAGTCCCAGTTCTACTACTTAATAACTGTCACCTTAGACAAGTCACTTACCCATATTTCACCACATAATCCATTGCACCCTGGTTTTTTTAGTCCAAAAATTGTTTATAACCTTTGATCACATGGTATAATTCTATTCCTCATGCCACTTAAAACGTAAACATATTTACCAGTGGTATATAGATACACATTTATCTCTCCAGCATTTAGAGCCAGGAGCCTAGAATTCTCAGCTCATGCACATTGTCAGTATTCAATTTTAATGTATAGTCATGAGTATTCTGTGCCTCCTAATCTTGCACCAAAGACAATTTAGTAATAAATGATTTTTAAGTAATACCGGCTCATTTTTTAAAAGTTTCACATAATGGTCGCACCCCACCTTTTGCCGTAATGTCTTCGATGATTATGCAATGAAATATGTTATCTAGCCTCAGTTTCCCCATGTGTAAAATAAAGGGATTGGATTGGATCCCCTTTGAAGTCCCTTTCTGTTCTAAATCTAAGAAATGAAAAAAAGTAGATTTTGCTTCAGTTTCTCCCTCTCCCCGCTCTGTTACTATCTCTGCAAGTTTTTAGCTTCTTCATCTATAAAGTAGGAATAATAATACCTACCTAGAAGGTGGTAGTATCACATTCAATTTTGAGGGTTGGGAAGGGAGATTAAATCTGTGAGGAAACTCCAACAACCAGTACAAATCAGTAACTATTCAGCAATTTTTATTCTTAGGCAGTCACCTGAGGCACTGAGAATTTATGGCTTGCCCTCGTTCACACTGCCAACTTGTGTGTTTGGTGGGACTTGAACGCAGGTCTTACTGGTCTGTGGGGTCTGTTCCCTATTCACTACTCCATATTGCCTCTAGCTAATTCGATAGTGTATATAAAATACTTATGTAATATAAATATGAGCTATTGCTTTGCTATACTCTATTAGTGCCACAGAGATAATTCTAGAAGATTATAGTTAATGGTTCTCCTCTAAGCCTATAAAAGGAACAAAGAAGCAAGATGCAAAAGCCAAGAGGTTGGCAGCTTACGACTCCCCCCAACAGTTCATAATAAAGGGAAAGATTCCAGAACAATTGCTTATGAGAATAACCAAGAAGACCTACAGAGTTCTTATCCATAACCCAAAAATTTATTTTTTGAAAAATTTTCCCCTCACTATTTAGAGATCCCAGTGTTTCAGTTCAAGGGTAGGATTGAATCTCCGATCTTTGTCAATTGTGGGCAAGTCACTTAACCTAAGTCTGTTTCCTCAACTGTGAAATGGGGAGAATATACCTACCTTCCTAGAACATAGACAAGAATGGCATTGAATGGGCCAGCATAGATGTACAATCTACATCCTTGGAAGGAATGCCCACCTACAATGAGCTTGAAGAATCAACAAAGTATCATAGTGTTAGGGATCTATAAGGATGTAGAGGGCCACAGGCTGTTCAAGAGGTCTCACTGATGGGCAGAGGCCCCTCTCCGGGTGCTGATCTTTGAGCAAAGGTCGCCTGGTGAGGTGCTCCATTGTATGGATCTGTTAACAATCTTTAACTCTCCTAGTTATTGTATGGTCATTAGCAGTCTATTCTGGGATTGGAGTCAGATAAGTTCACAGGACATGCATGCACTGTCCTTGAGCACAGCATGGGCTACACGCCATTGTAACTTGAGAAAGAGTTCCTATTATTTTACTGTATAAGTAAGTGCTTTGCTAAAAATAAACGGAGTTGCTTCCATCCTGCCTCCCTCCTCATCAATGCGCATTCGAGATAAAAAAATCAAGCTGGTCTTGATTGAAAAGGTGATTGGGAAATCCTAGGCCCTAGGTAGGCTCTATAGCCAAGTGAACTAGTTGTGCACAACAAACTGGCGCCCAACGTGGGGCTGTACTGCTGCCATGAAGAAGATACGGAGAGTAAGACAGCTGCATGAAACAGTCAGGAAACGTCTGGACCAAGAAGACGCGACACCCACATCAAGACACCGAGGTCTGTTGGAGCCAGGCAGCCTCCTTGTGAGAGGTCTCCGAATTGTATCCCGTGGCACAAAACTACAGAAGAGGTAAGAGAAAGTCTTATCATGAGGCAAAATCTAGGTAAACTCTCAGGTAAGGAACAGAATGTTAGAGTAATATATAAAGTGATTGAGGAACAGGGGCGCTCGGTAACTCCTAAAAAAATAAGAGAGTTTCTAGATATTATTGATATAAAATCTCCATGGCACCCCAGAGAAGGGAACTTAGATTTAGAACAATGGAAAATAGTGGGAAAACAATTGACAGAATTTTATAACACCAAAGGCCCAAAATCAGTTCCTCTGGGTACTTTCACTATCTATAATCTTATAAAAATGGGCTTGTAGGAGCTGTGAGAACAAAGGAAGCTCCCACCATGTACCACGAGGAATTTCAAAAATCCCCAAGGGGCAGTAGAAAAGAAACGCGTAGTCACAGCACTATATTGTGGACATTGTGGAGCATTACAAAGTGAAAAAGTTTCATTTTATAAAAACCAAAACCTTAAGAAAGAGTTTGCCTGGTTTTAGAATACCATGAAAAGAAAAGATAAAATAAAAATAAAAATAGTATTATTTCATTTGTGTAGGGAATTTCTGACAAGTTTCTCACTTTTGGATTCTCCCTGTCATTTTGTTCTATATTTGTCAGTGTCTATGTGAATGATGGTCTGTGCTGAAATGCTGTTAGT